GCATGGCCTCGTTTTCGCAACTTGCTGGTGTGGTCAGGGTGACCCAGAACAATAGATCTTGTCCGAAGCCATTTGTCAAGGTTGACATGATCATTTTCAGCGTTTAATTGCCGACTTAGTACACTCCCAGACGTTTCGCCGGCACCTTCAGTGGGCCTGGCTGACTGTTGAGCAGACAGTCGGTCGCCTTGACGATTTGTAGTGGCAGGGCTCACTGACGATGGCAACTACGAACCCGGCAAAACTTCCGTGAATGTACCAACTACACAGCCCGAAACTGGGAACAAGATGTGTTTTTCTAGGCCGCCCTGACGACGCGACCAAGTTTCGCCAGTGACCTCAAACCGGTTAGGCTTCGGCAACATGCTGGGCCCATTCCTGTCGAGCTCCTCTCTGCTTCGGGCAAAGCGCGTGAGGTCGAGTCCTGACGACGCGACCAAGTTGTCAAGTGCTGGTAAACCGCCGCTTCCCAGCAAACTAAGACCGCGCAGCCAACCTGGAGGCCAGTCGACTGTTTGTGTTCGTGCTCGTGTTCGTGTTCGTGTTTGTGTTCGTGTTCGTGTCTGGCCTCCATTGCGGACGGTCGGCTCCTCCGAGGTCGGCATGTGCGAACTGCATGTGAGGCTGTGAAGAAGCCTTCTGTCCGGATAACTTAGAGCCCGTCGGCAGCCTGTGCCCCGTGGAGCAGACGAAAGGTCCGGCATGGAAGCACCAGTTGAGATGAGTCAACGCGCCGGACACGCGACAGAGGCGTCACCGCGCGAGTCCGGACAAAGCGCTCCGCCCCGCCAGCGACTCTCCTGCGTTGTTCTAGTGACGCCTTGTTGTCTGTTTGGTGACAGGCCCTGCCGCCTGTGCGTCAAGCCGTGCCCTTGGCCACATGTTCTTTAAGGGCTGTTGTCAATGCAGTGAGCAGCTCACGTGCATTTTGAATGAAAGGGTGCGACGAAACGATTCGAGGCTCCGCCCAGTTGGCAGATGATGGTGGGCCAGCTGGACCAGTCGAGAGGATAGGGCAACTGTATTGTCGATGAAGCAAGTTGATGCGAGACGACGGACAATTTCAAGATCTGCCGGCAGATTCGAAGATCCACTTAAGCGAATTAATGCATGCATGTATTGAATAAGGCCTGGACTGTTCAGAATGCTTTAATGATGTAGCGGGACTTGAAAGTTAACCTCAAAAGTAAAAGTTGCTTGCGAATTGGTCGAAGCCAACTTTGAAGGGTACTGACATGAATTGGAGGTAACA